CATACGGAATAGTTTAAAGAATTGAATCTCTTCAAGATGGTGGTGCACCCGGGATGCGATTCCAAGATATCTAATTCACCAGAGATTTCCTCTCCACCTCAGTTCCTTCATCACTCTGAGGCTCATCATCCTTGCCATGAGCCACCCCACAGTCTGCCCTAGTTTCTGTTAATGACATAACATCACTTCCTTCATGGAATTACATTTTACCACCTCACACCACCACACTGGAGACTGAGAATCTAGCGCGGGAAATTTTAGGGGATGAACCACACTAAACTACAGTATTAAGTAACTTAAAAATTGATACAATTCCTTTGGAAAGTCATTTGGCAATATGTCATAAGCTTAAAATTGGTCATCCCACTCTATGGATATATATATATATTTTTTTTTGATTTTTTGAGACAGGGTCTCACTATATAGTTGAGACTGACCTGGAACTCACTGTGTAGCCCAGTCTGGTCTCGAACTCACAGCGATCCTCCTGCCTCAGCCTCCCGAGTGCTGGGATTACAGGCATGCGCCACAACCGGCTATGGATATATTCTTCAGTAAAAACTCATAAACAGTAAAACTGGGGGGAGGGGTCAATAATCTACTCATTTAATATGACGGAAATGGAGCATGTGCAGCCCTAAGTAGTTTATATTTCTGCTCTACTATTAACTGGAAAAGTCAGTAAAATATTACACTCAGTGTGAATGAGAAAATATAACTGTCTCAGTTACTTTCTCGCTGAGATAAAATACCTGGCACCCAAAAGAAGGAAAGGCTTATTTTAGCTCACAGTTTGTAGAGGTTTTAGTCCGTGGTCATCAGTCTCCCTAGCTGGCTGGCAGAGGAGAAACAGTCCAAGGCAGGACAGGCAGGAAAGCAGTAGTGGGCCTGCATTCCCTGTCTCCCTTTATATCCCACCCAGGCTAAAAGCCCACTAATCAGCACCATCCACAGGGAGGGTGGGGCCTTTGTCTTCAGTAAATGTGTTCAGACATATCCAGAACTATGCCAACCCAGTCCGTAGACTAATCCGGTTACCACACATCCTAAACCCATAGTCATACACACTAGATCCAGCCAATTTTGAAAAGCCCCACCTATGAGTGCATGAGGCTTTGGGAGTGCATCTAGGTACAAGCTGAAACAATGGTAGCATAAAAGGTGGTAGGATTTGAGTTAATTTTTCTTTCATAATCATTGTTATATTTTCTTTAATGAGATTGTATTATTTTTATAATCATAAAAATAAAGTGCGTTAAGATTGTTTTGGAATAACAGAGGAAATGTTGGCCACTTTGAGAGTGGCTGAAGGCTGGGCCCCTGTGATGATTTCATGAATGGCCTTGGTGTGCCTCTGTACATTGGCCTCAGTGATAATATGACTGTGTGTAGGTCTATCTAGACATCATTTTACAAAGATCTTGAAATTATAGCAACACAGCACTGCTTTGTCTAGCTTTTGCTTCCATTCACTAACACTGTTTCCTTCCATTTTGCATCATAATGCAGTCTCTGTGGCCTTATAGTAATATCGTCTGTGCAATTCTACAGTGAGATGTAGAATGAATCTTGGGTTCTTCTTTCTTCCCAAACCTGCACCCTACCCCTAGAATGCTTCTTTTTCTCCGTGTTCCCACGCACCATGCTTTCATTATTAGGACATTTGTCAGAAAAATGACAACTGGATCAAACCTTGAGTCATTTGAAATTCTGGATACCAAGTCTATTTAATTAGATTTTAACTAGGAATCACATTCAAACAAACCTCTCAACAATGTCACTGCTATTTCCAAAAAAAATTTTTTTTATTTTATTTTTTCCCTTTGTTCCATCCCTTCTTTTCTTTTTCTTTCATAAATACCTACCTAGCACCTTCTATGAACCTGTCAAAGATGGGTAAGGGGGTTTCAATAGCAAATATATGGGCAATATTTGCATGCATAGGGATTAGAATGAATCTGGTGGAGGAAATGTAAATTATATGAATATTAAAAACTTTTTCCCAATTTAGGAGGCTGGTTGTCCAAGTTCAAGGCACCGGGAGATGCAGTGTCTGGCTGTCTTCCTGTATTTTTACTATGTCCTCACAGGGGATGGGAGGCAGTGGATGAGGAAACTCTCTGGGATCTCCTTAGTAGGGACACTAATCCCATTCACAAGGCTCTGCTCTCCTGACCCAATTACTTCCCAAAGATCTTACCTCTGAATCCAATCTCACTAGCGCTTAGGTTCAACATGTGAATTCCAAGGCCACCCCAACACTGAGTCCTTAAGACCACATTTTTCCTAGAATGCCTTTTTTGCTTGGCAAAAATAATTGCCAGGCAAATTCTGGTTTTTCAGGTTTAGATATATGACATACCTTGTCACAAATCATGCAGATGGCCCATCACTTCAAGGAAAAGAAGTTAACCTTATTTGTTACCAATAACAAAAGTTGAGCTTTCATGCAAAAGTGAAAGTATACCCCCCACCATGTGCTTGGTGCAATCGCTGGTGATATTAACAATTTTTTTCCTATTGTATGGTAGAAAGTGTAAATATTTATAAGATAGGCATTTCTCAGGGAGCGATTGTTTTCTAAATTTCTGATTCAAGATGTTAAAAAAAATCATGTACAAGCACAAGATCCATTCAAACTGTACCTAAACCAATGGATGTCATTGAACCTGAGCATGAAGTATGACACTTTCAGGCTCCACAGTGCACTTATCACAGAAGATTCCCACTGGCCACATTCTCCCACTGCAGAGAATATCTGCAGGTATCCGAACAGGAGGTGAAAATGCTCCTTCCTGTCCCACTTCCCAATGGTGCAAGGCTGGGTTTCTTTCAAAGGCTTCCTTTAAAACAACACGTAGCAACAGATTGAATGAAGAAGCAAGACCGAGACTCTAGCTGCTCTCCACTAAACCCGACTCTAAAGAGATTTGCAAAAATACCAGTGTTACTCTTCACGCTAATTATTTTCTTGAGAATATATTTTTACTAAAGTTGTTTTATGATAATATGCAATGGGTTTATTGTAGTTTTAAATATATTAATACATTTTTATTCTCAGTTTTTATTTTGAATTCTGTGAATATCAGTAGATGTGTTCCTCTTAAAAGCTTGCTGGGGTCTTGAGTGATTTGTAAGAGTGTCAGGGGTGCTGGGATGAACGTTTGAGAATCAGTGCTAAAGACAACCTAGGTTCTCTATCGCTTTCATGCCTTTTTTTCCTAGGGTGTCATCCTCAGTGTTGTAATTTATAATAAGTAGCAGTTCATAACCTAAGTAGAGTGAAATTTGAAGAATTTTCCCCTCGACTAGGGAGAGAACTGTGCTCTTCATCTCAGCCAGGTTGCCTGGCTCTGAGGCTGTGGCAGTGCAGCTGGCCCGGGATCACCTTCCAAACGTGGCCAGTGGGTGACCTGGCTCTCTCTGCCATGGCTGTGGAAGCGGTGGAGCCGTGGAAGGCATCTAGGGCAGGAAGCTTGTGCATCCTTCCTGGAGTGACCTGGGGGACTTTGTACCTTGTAGGGAGGCACTATGAGGTAGGAGAAGCTCACAGTTTTGGGGCCAGCCAGTTTCCACCTTCTACCTGTGTTCCCGAGGTAGGATTCTCATTTCCGATTTGTCAACCAGGCAACAGCAGGAGGAGGATCAGAAAGCGGCTTTTACCAGTAAGCTACCTAGTTTAACTTTTTCTTCTGTCATCCTGGATCTACAGCTGCAAGGTTTCCTTCACTTTTAAAAAGCTCAGCTTCTTATATTCAAAATAGGTCTAAATGTATTTACCTCCCAGTTTGTTATAGTGACTAAATGACATAGTCTAGGTAATGTTCCAGCACGTACTATGACGGATGATCAAAGAACAAGGTAAATGTTTAAACTTTAAAAATGTATTACAGTATTAAGACACATTGCCGTTCACTTCCCTCAGAGTGCTCCCCCTGGCTTCAGGCACACTTACCCCAGTCTTCTTACTTGTTTCTGAAGCAGTTCTAGAAGTTCTCTTCATGAGGGTCTTTAGTGGGGCTGTCCTGGCTGCCTCCATGTCCTGAATCAGTGGAAAATGTTTAGTTGTTATGCTCATTTTGACTTTGGGGAAGAGCCAGAAGTCTCACCATGCCAAATCTGGTGAAGAAGATGGACGAGGAAACACTATAATGTTTTTATTTGATAAAAATTGACATAAGCTCTTCAAATTGATTCAGGGCATCAAGGCAGTCGTGGAAAGACGCTCATGAAATAAAGACTTGCAGAACTGCTTCAGCACGTAGCGAAGAGAGTGAGATAAGTGTGTTCAAAGACAGAGGGAGTAGTCTGAGGGAGATGAGCAACAATGTAACTTTTACTATAGTACGCTTAAATTTTTTAAAAATTTAAACATTCATCTTATTGTTTGATCACACCTCATACTTAAGGCCAATTTTTATAGGCATTTTAGCATACTTCCAATAACTCCTTTAGGTAATGTTTGCGGTAGGGGAGGAGGTTGAGACAGAGTCTCGCTGTGTAGTTTAAGCTAGTCTTGAACTCACTATGTAGTCCAGGCTGGATTTGAACTCAAGGCCTCCCTCTTGCCTCAGTCTCCTGAGTGCTGGGGTTGCAGGCATGCTCCACCACGCCTGGCTCAGGGAATGTTATTTTAAACATTTTATAGGTGGGAAAACTATAGCTCAGAGATGTTAAGTAACTTGCTGAGGTTTCCAAAGCCAGCAAGGAGATAAGATGGAAACCCCATCCTCTGACCCCGGACCCCATGTTTCTGACCACTGTACTTCCATACTTTGGCTTCGCAGAGTGTTAGCTCTCCCCAGGACTCATCTTCTTAAAGTGATAACCATGTGTTCTGGGAACTGATGCAGCGTGAAAGGGATCCTGAGCACATACAACGAGAGAACACTAAATGTTCACTCCTCTTTTCCTCTTCACGGCAGGAAAATTCGCACGGCTCTTTCCTTCCCTTAAGTTTTATACTTCAGAATTCACCCAGGTTTCCTTCTTACATTTAGGAGAGTGAGTCGAGCTGCCATGACCCCCGCAGCGGTTTCCTGCCAGCTGAGTGACTGGTCTAAGTGGACAGACTGCTTTCCTTGCCAGGACCGAAAGGTAAAGTGTGTGTGGCCAGTTGGGGAGAATTTCTGACTTGATCTGAGGACTGGGCATTCACATGGAAATAAGCAGCTGGGGCTATAAACATGGAGTTCTGGGGAAAGTGTCTAGAAATAGGTATTTGGGAACCTTGGGCACCTGGATGGGGACCCTGGTGTCCGCCTCTCCCGGCGTGGTTTGTGAGTCACCACTGGGTGAGGCTGTTAGCTATGTGACAGTCACAGGCAGAGAAGCGCCCCCCGGGCATGGGCACCTTTACCCCTTGTGGCCCTCCTGGGCCTATTGTCTGTTAGTGAAGGTAATCCAGAGGGCTGATGAACCCTTAGTAATGAGATGCTAAATGGCTCACAGGCAGCTGAGCAGCAGAATAAGAAACTACCCCAGGCCAAGTGAGATAACTGGGGCTGTGCCACAGCGGGTGCACCCAAGGCTCCACTCCATGGACTTGAAAAGGCCGTCACAGCTGGGGGACAGAGGGAGTTCTGTCTTGCTCATCTAAGCAGTTATGAATGATCCAAAGTGGGCGTTGAACCCCGTGGCGTGTAAAGGAAGGGAGACCGTGGGAACCCTCTGTGCTGGCAGGGAACAGTATTACATTTCTGGCTTTGTTCAGAAGCACTGGCTCTCGGCAGCGCTGGAAAGGAATCCACTGTCCACTGTTTCCCTGGGATGTGCCCGGTCCCTGTCTAGGTGCTAGCACTGCTGCCTTGACTTTGTCTGTAGGCCCTTAAGGTCACGTTCCAGTGTTTCAGCATCAGTTCTGCAGCTTGGATCTGGCTTCGCCTCTTACCTGCTGTGATACTTTGGGCATATTTTATCCTCTCTGTGCCTCAGTTTCCTTATATAAGTAACAGTGCCTACAACCTAGAGTAATTATGAGCACTCAGTGAGCTATGCTTGTGAAGTCTCTCTCATGACACGTGTTTGATAGGCAATCAGCTGTCTGTAACTCTGCCTGTCTTTGCCTCTCAAACCTGCCTCCTGGGGCCTTGGATGAAGCTCTGTTCTCTGCTGAGGGCTGATCTCCCTCTAGACCTGGGCCTCTGCTGGACATGCAGTTGCTCCATGGATGTCTTTTATGAACTGTTCAATAACACAGACCAAGAAAGTAGTAGAAACACAGTCTGGACCTAATTTGTTCAACTTCAAAACCTGAAATTCACTGTTTTGCTCCTTTCATCTCTGAAAAAATTCCAAAAGACCCTGGACTGCCCTTGTTTAAGGTTTCTGGCCTCCAAACTATTATTTTCCCTGAAGCCTGTATCTACTTCCCCAGTCAGGTGAAAACAAAACAAAAAATGTCCTGAACTCGAGGGCTTAAAACAATGGAAATACCTTCGCTCACAGTGTGGAGACCAGAAGTCTGAAAATGAGATGTTGCTTGGGCCACACTCCATTTCGGAGGGCACTGGGGAATCTGTTCTTGGTATCTTCCTGCTCCTGGGGGCTGACAGCATCCTTGACCTGTGCTCACTCCACTCTGTGCCTCCCGGTCACCTGGCTTCCTTCTCTTCTGTGTGTCTTCTCCTCTGTGTGTTGGCCCGAAATTTCCCCTTGTTTTCCTCTTGTGAGGACGAGGGGTGGCATTTGGGGTCATGCAGTTAATCTAAGGCAATCACATCTCAAAAACCTTCAATCTGTCCTCAGAGCCTTTTTCTACACAAGGACACATTTATATGTACTGCAGATTCAGATTTGATATCCTTGTGTGGCCACTATTCAACCTATGACACAGTCTAAACCCAATTTTTTCTTCTGTGCTGTAGTTTAGATGGCAGATAACACAAGTAGATTGCTTGTAGTTAAAATCAGAATTGAATTACCACTTCAGGGACTCAAAAAGACATGTGTGTCTTTAAAGTAATCTTTAAAATAATTAAATTTTGTTAATTATTTAACTAAAAGACCACCTCAGTTTCTTTTTATTAATATGTTTCTTCCTCTAAAAATCACCCAAACAAACATGTGCGTTTCTGGAAGGAAACATCATCTATGAGCTAGAAAAGAAAATTATGTCTTAATGACATGGAACATAGGCAAAAGCATGAAGAAGTCCCCATGGGAGCAGTAGCACCGACCTGCCTGCAGCCCCTGTCTTCATTATTTGACAGCAACCTGGAAAGCGGGGACCTGATGGAAATGAGCCTGAAGGCCTACAGGGTTGATTCCAAGCATAAAAACTACAGAAGGGATGATACGGCACTTATCAAGTATAATGGCAAGTATCATCAAATGCCATTTATCAGATATGTTCTATGCGTAGGCTTGGCATGGCACTAGTGCTTTAAATAAATAGACTGTGTAGTTGGATGTCTTCTTCCAACTGAAAAGGGTGCATACCCTCATCCATTCTGTGTAGGTCATGTGTTAAAGCAGCAGAGCCTAGATTTGATCCTTGGTCAGTCCGACTCTGAAAGCCTGGGAGATGGCCACTCTTCTCTACTGCCACTGACAAGCTGAGCACTCAGAGACTGAGGCAGGAGGATCACAAATTCAATACCAACCCAGGCTCCATGGTGAGACCCTGTCTCAAGAAAACAAAATGCCCCTGTGCGAGAGGAATAAGTAACACAGGTAGTCAGCTAATCCTTTTCCTTCTGGAGCTGCCCTGCAGCTGGTATGAGGGTGGCAGTGGGGTAGATGACTGCTATTCCTGAGAGTGCTCCAGGAGCTGGGCAGTATGTGGATGCTGTTACCTGTGCGATCACTCATCTTGGCAAAACTGTCACGTACAGCTCACATTACAAATGAGAAGACCGAGGGCCTGGGACACCAACCAACTCAACCAGCAATGTCTGTAGAGTCAGGGGAAGAAATGGAATTTGAGCCCAGCTTGGAATGGGATTCACAACAGCAGGTTATGACTTGCGAAGCCTTATGAAATTGTGAAGATGAAATGAGATGGAGAATGTGAAGCACGTGGCCACTGTCAGCACTGATGGTGGCCTCATTGCCATTGTTGTCCTCCGGGTAACTACATCAGCAAAAAAGCTGGCACACTTTTTAAAAGCAAGAAAGACAAACACACTCAACACAAGAATGCTCGTTACTCCTGTATTTGCATACAGAGGAATAAGACTGGGGAGAAAGTAGAAATATTCTGACTTATTAGTTGGGGTTCACTAGAAGAACAGATTTACAGGGCAGATTTATAATGGCTGCTTGTGGAATCCAGGGTGGAAGAATGCAAAATGGCCGTCTTCATGCTAGGGAGGCAGAGGATCCAGGAGAAGATCACAGGCCTGGATTTCACTGCAGAGTCCAGAGTGCATCCATGTTGGAAAGCCAAAGGGTCTGTGTTGGAAGGCTCAAGAATCTGCACTAAAGGCTGAAGGAACTGGATACAAACGTTGAAAGGCAATGGCAAAGACTGGAGCTCTGAAGAAGATGAAAGAGGAGACTTCCTTTTTGTTTACCTTTTTATTCCCTCCAGAGTACAAGGCTATTGGTTGGTGCTACTCACACAGAGGGTGGGTCTCCCCTCCTGATTTTATGGCCTACCTGCCAATCATCCACAGACACTCCCAGAGCTTGACTAACCTAGGCAGTTCTTACTTAATCCAAGTTGACATATCACAGTTAACAATAATATCTTATATGCCCCAACTGGTCATTAATTAAATTGATCATTAGTTCACCACTGGTCATTAATTAAAACCTCCTTACACAGAGTTTACAAACTTCTGACCAGACCAGCACTGTTAATGGAAAAGCACCTCTCTATTTCCTCTGCCTTTTTACCAATGAGTGGCCAAGCAGACAGAGCCAGGATTGTTACGGTGTTAGGGAATTGATCATGTTAAAGTATTTTGTGATGCCGCCATCACAGGCTACATTTTCCTGGTGCTTCTTGGCTCTTAAAATGACCTCATGCCCTTATCTTTAGTTTTCCTCCCACCAAGGCCACAGCGAGACAGAAAACTTAAAACCTATTTCTGCAGGACTGAACCCATAAAAGGCAACCTAGCCTGTGATAGGTTAAAAGTAGCCTACTCCTCATAAATAAACAATAGCCCAGCCCAAGACTAATAAAAGGAACTTCCTTTCTTTGTTCCTTCTTCTTTCTTTTTCTTGCTCTGCTCTCTCTCTCTTTCTCTCTCTCTCTCTCTCTCTCTCTCTCTCTCTCTGCACTCTCTCTCTCTGCTCTCTCTCTACTCCCACTCCTTGAATAAAATCTCCAGTCGGACCTCTCGGTGTGTGTGGCCTAATTGTTGAGCATCGCTGTTCCCTTTCAGTAAGAATATGGTCTCAGGACCCCTAAGTCTTCATGTGCTGAAACTTAATTCCCATGATGAGGTATTAAAAGGGTATAAACAACCCAAATATGATGCTTTGATGTGGAGCCTTTTGAGGTGATTAGGATTTGATTAGGTCATTTGTGACAGGCAGAGAGACAGACAGACAGACAGATACACACATACACACTTTCTTTCCACCACCATGTAATGCCCTGCCTTGTACCACCATCTTGGGACTGCCAGCAAAAGGGCCGTCCCCATCCAGATAAAGCCTCTGGGCCTTGTACCTCCATAACCATAAACAGAATTAATTCTCCTTTCTTTATAATTTGCCAAGTCTATGGTTTTGTGTTTGGCATCAGAAAATGGTTTAATACAGGCTAAGAGGAGAAGTACACTGCCCTTCTCCCTAGCTTTTCCCTGGAGTCATCTGGAAAAGACTTCCTGGATAACCATAGTAATTAGACACCAATGATCTACCACTCACAGGCCCAAGTGCTCCTTCCCATGTTTCTGCCACTTAGATCTCACCCAGTCCTTTCACTGTAGGAAACAGAAAAGCTCAGGAGAGGTAAGTGACCTGCTCATTGTTGGTTGGTGAGCAAATCTAGGATCTGAACTGAAGTCCACTAATTCCCATGCCTAGGTTTTGTCAGTTTCGGACACAGGTGAATCATTAGTTGTTGTCATCAGTGAGGTCACTTGGACCACACCGTGTTACAGGCATGGAAACTGAGGCACAGAGCACCAGAAATGAATGCTTCATATAGCAAGTGAGAAAAAGATTAAAGTCAGGAATTCACTGCTGCTCACTCATGGTCTTCTTACACACTAACATACTTGAAGGAAGGGCTTGTGGACTGAACCGACATCCGGGGCAGCATGTGACACAGGGCCACACAGTTTCTTACTGGACACTCTGTATTGTTGATCTCTGCACAGTTTGTTTTGTGTTATTACATTTTTTATCTCCTCGACTAGACTCTAATCATCTGGAAGGCAGAGATAGGACCTCATATTTCGCTGAATATCCTAATCTTCAGCTTCCTTATTTTACACTGGGACCTGATACCGAGAACTATAAAAAGTCTCATTATGAAACCATAAACCCCCAAGGCCAGCATGCATTTTAATTCTTCTCTTCCTTCTGTTAACCAATATGTATTCATCTGCAGTCAGTGCTGGACCCAGGGATTCAGATGATGACTTCCAGAGTTCTCTTGGTTTCTCTCTTCTTTGGTGGACTCTTTCTGCAGGACAGGCAAGATGATGCCCACATTTCTCACAACTCCAGTAAAAAGAAGCTATCTTTCCATAAAACAAAATGCCCAGAGGATTGGAGCAATCCTTACAACTAGGCAGATGTGTCCATCTGCTAGAAGCCAGGCTGACTAATACATATCCATCTGGGACTGGGAGGGTGAGGTAATCTCCTCTGGAACCACAGGAGACACAGCTGGAGAAAAAGAGGGCTTGATGTGGCCTGAAGAGATGCTGCAAATGTCCCCTAAAAGCATACCTGGTCAAGCACCTGGTGCCTGAGGCCAAGTAGGACCTGGTCTTTCCTTTGCTGCCTGTAACCCAGTGTGCAGGTTGCTCACAGGCTGGTGGGAGAGATGGGCAAACAGTGGGTGTGTGCAGACCACAGAGTTCGTGGCTGAGTCAGGAAGCCTTTGCAAGAGAGGTAAACTGTGAATCTTGAAAGATGAATGTTGACGGACTAGTTGAAGAAAGGAGCAGAGGTCTTTCCCAGCAAGAGGAAGATCCTTGAAAGGTCTGTGTCCCAGCCTGTCGCAAGCCACTAGGAGTTCTTATTCAGTACTCCAGAGGGTGACAGTGCCCAGGCTTTTGCTCCCCTGGACTCAGATTTGTAGGCAGCTCTCAATCACAGCCAGAACTCCTTATGCTGAGCTGAGATCCACTTGCACAATCTCGGTTGATTGACAGGAATGTGTCTGGTTCACAATCCAATTTAGTACCGATATCGGAGCCTCTTGCAGCCAGACAAGTTTGGGGGAGCCATCTGCAGTGGTGATATGTGGGATCAAGCCAGCTGCAACAGTCCTACACCTTGTCTAAGGCAGCCGCAGTGTGGACAAGATTTCCAGTGTAAAGAGACAGGTGAGTAGCATTCGGGGGGAGGCCAGCTGTGCCTGTCAAACTTAACATGCAAAAAACACTTCCCCAGAGATCCTGTTAAAATGTACACTGCATACCCTTCCCTTAGAGGTTTCCTCTCTGAAGGTTTGGGATGGAGCCCAGGACCCTGTATTTTAAGCCAAGCCAGCAGCCGAAGTGATTTTGATTCAAGTCTGTAGGACATTTGTTGGAAGCCTGTGAAAATGTACACTTTATCCACTCATTGAATCAGTACTTCCTGGACACATAGTATGTCCCAGGCAGTGTACCATGTGCAGCTAATACAAAGATGAAAATATAATGTTCCTGACCTTGAGGTTCTCCTGCTCTGTGCAGGAGATGAAGGACGAGAGGAGTACAATGCCATGTGACAGTTGCTGTGCTGGGCATGTGGACAGTCATGTGGGTCTTACAGGCAGCACCCAGATCTGCTGTGGGGAGTCAGGACAGGCTTCCTTGTGGCACTGAGCTGAGACTTGGGAAATAAATAGAAGTTTCTAAGACAAAGAACATGGGGGTCTGGGGACTCTCAATCCATTCTGGAATATTTGTAGCATTGGAGCTTTGGAAAGAGAGGTGGGAGATGGGGTCGGACAGGTAACAGGGCTGCGGTGTTTGGAAGAAGAGGGTGTGGAGCCACTGGGAGACACAGGGCAAGGGGCATGGCATGGCCAGCCCGGTTTTAGAAAGACTTCCCCTGGGGCTGCAGTGTGGAGGCAGATTGAACAGGGGAATGCAGGCCAGAGCTGGGGCCTACTACAGCTGGGAGTTGGTGAGGCTGCAAGGAGGGCAGAGGCGGTGTGGACAGGGAAGATGGAGCGGGAGAGGGCCGCCTCCTGGGTAGGAAAGGTGACCAGAACAGAGAGCGAGCAGGTCCAGGGCCTCCACCGCCTCTCCTCCCACAGGTCGCTGCCTGAAACACTACCTTGTGTGTAATGGACACAGTGACTGTCTCGACGGCTCTGATGAGGACGACTGTGAGGATATCAGGGCCCCTGAAGATGACTGCAGCCAGTATGACCCGATTCCAGGATCGGAGAGGGCGGCCTTGGGGTGAGAGCCTGCTCACAGCTACTCGGGAGCAGGGAATGACTTCCCTTCTGTCACGAGCATTGGTTCTGGGAACACAGAGGGCCTGCTCTGTGGGTGGAGTTCCTCTGGGTGCACCTGTGAGCAGCTCTTTCTGTCCCTAGTGGTGACTCGCATGGTCCTGCCTGTCTGTGTGAGGGACTCTGCTTCTGCCTCCTCCCCCACTCCACCAGCTGTCTGCTTTTAGCCAGTTCCATTTCCAGGGCTCCTTTGAGAAGCCACATCTTCCATGAAGCCTCCCCTGAGTCCCCCAAAGATGTCACATCCTTGACACATGTGTGCCCTCCGGTAGCCGTGTCCGCAGTCATGGATTTTCCAGGGAGGCAGAGAGGACCTTGAACCTCTGCTTTGCCGTTGCTCACTTCAACTCCCAGGTGACAACTGTGTTATCTGTTGAGATTAAATCAGCTTTGATTCTAATTTCTCCTCATCCTTTCATCCTCATCCCACCTTCCACTCGGGCTCAGTTCCTCGAATGCATCACTCTTCCCTTCTGAGCCTTAATAAATTGAGTTCCTTCCCTCAGAATTGTGCTCCCCCATAGCTCTAATCTGGCTAACTCCTTACCTAGGTGAGGGGCTGGATTATGCACACCCCACCTCCCCTCAGTCTTGTGTTGATGCCCTAACTCCGGAGTGACTAGATTCAGACCTGATCCTGGGGAGGTAATGAAGTTTAACCGAGTTTGTAAAGGGGCCCTGATTCAACAGGGCTGGTGTTTAAAAGAAGAAGGAGAAAGAGAGGGAGGAAGAGAAGGATAAGAGAAGGATGGAGAGGTGTGGGGGGAGAAATCAGAGATTTCTCTTTCCACATATGCATGGCAAAGAAGCCAAGTGAGGACACAGAAAGAAGCAGCTTCCTGTAAGCCAGCAAGTGAATCACCAGCAGCCAACATGAGGATACCTGAATTTTAAGCTTCTGACCACTGGACATGAGAAAATACATGTCCATACTATGAGCTGGAAGTTGGTGATAGGTTGTTAAGGCCTCCCAAGCCCACCATTCCTGTAGGTATATCCCTTCTGGACAGCCTCGGCAGACAGTGCCTGGGTCCTACATGGGCTGGCTTTGCCCCTTGCTGTTGCTCCCAGACTCTTGCTGGCCCTACTAATAGGGCTGGGGACGTCTGCCCAGGTGGAGAGCTCCTTGCCACCTCTGCCTCTGCAGGTCCCAGCACAGGCCTAGCTCAGAGTGGCATTCTGGTATTGTCAGGTCCCTCCATTGGCTCCTGTCCCCCTTGAGAGTGCAGGTTGCTTCTGACTGCCCTGTCCATACCCTCTGCCTGTGTCAGAGCTTGTCTTACAGGCTGCTCAGCTGCATTCAGTGTGCCCTGGTGGCTCCCTACACATTAGGAAATGGGGGTGCAATTATTGCACTGGCCCAGCCATGTCGCCCATGGACACACATCTAGGAAGATGGGAACACTGTGATTTCTTTCACATTGCCACAACAACATACCTGGATCAGGGTTACTTAAATAACACAAAAGTACTTTTCCATAGTTCTGGGGCAAGAAGGCTAAGATGAAGATGTCAGCTGTGCAAGTTTCCTCCAAGCCCCTCTCCTGGTTTCATAGATGGCCAGCGTCACCTGGGTCCTCACGAGCTCTCCCCTCTTTACACATCTGTACCCTGGTTTCATCTTCTTCCAAGGACACCACATACATGGACAAAGCCCACCCTGGGAAACTCGTTTTAACTTAATCACTCCTTTAAGGACTTTGTCTCCAAGTACAGTCCCATTCCAAAGCTATGGGGGTTAAGACTTCCACTTGTGAATGTTGGGGTACACATTCATCCCATCACACAACCGAGAGACATTCTTGTTGATTTTAAAGTGTCTTTACACAGGAGAAGCACAGAATGTGGAAGCATAGAGCTATGGGAAAAACCCTCCCCTTGCCCAGCCCAGCTCTTGCCTGCCCCAGCCAGGAGCATTTCCTATACTCTTCCTGGGCAGCAGCTTTGCTTACCCGCAGTACCCACACCGGAAGTACCACACCGGACGTACCACGCTGGAAGTCCACACTGAAGAGTTCCTGCCCTGCCTTTGAGGCTGGCATCTTAATAATTTCTCTGTACACCTAGAGGTCTCAGAGACCTTTCTTCAGGCCCTATTTTTTTTTCTATTCAAACATTTCTCAGTTCCCAATATTTACTTATTGTTAAACAATACATGTCTGGTGTGGAAAACTGGATATTTGAACACAATCGCTGACCTGTATCTCACCCAATGTCCTCTGTCACTCTCTGCTTGGAGCCAATTCCTGACAACAGCTGGATGTAGGTATTTCCTGATTAGATCTTAAAAATGCATTGAGAATATATATTGGGTAGAAACGAATCTATATGTGTTGTACGTTACAGTAAATGAAGGTAAATTTTACATAAATATGACCATGTCATACATACTGATATAACTTACCCTTTTCACTTGATAATACAGTTTGAAGACTCCCTATATTTTTAATCTTCTTTTACTCTTTTTTATTTATTTATTTTGAATTTTTGAGACAGGGTTGACCTTGAACTCACTATATAGCCTGGGCTGGGCTCAAACTTTCAGTGATCCTCCTGCTTCAGCCTCCAAAGTGCTGGGATTAAAGGCATGTGCCACCATGCCCAGCCCTATCTCTTTTTAAAAAAATCTGTCCAGAGATGTTTGATGTTCTCTGTATTTATAAACACACACACACAAACACACACACACACACACATACACACACACACACCAACACCCACTTTTTTTCTTTCAACCTAAGACAAGGTCTTGGTATGTTGCCTTGTGTGGTCCCAAATTCAAAATCCTCCCTAATATCTGGGATGATCCCTGTGCCGCCACACCCAGTTTCTCTGTCTCTCTTTTTTTTTTTTCCTAATCAACACAGTGTTCCATAACAGAAGCCAACAAAACTTTGAACAGAAGGCAAAATTCAGTCTGCTGTTTTCAGAAATAAAGTTTTTTTAAAATGCCCCCTTTGCCCTCCTTGGCCTGGGTATGCACTATCTGGACCTTTATTTTTTGTTTTTAAAAAAGAAACGTTTGCTGACTCTACTACATTATAACTATAGAATAATTTATTTGAGTGCTATTGAAAGAGAATTAAATTCTTTCCCATTTTCCTCTTATTATCAATGCTACAATGAATATTTTTGTATGAATAGTTTTGTACACGTGTGATTATTTCTACATGGTAGATTTCCAAGAGGTAGAATGCTTCTGATTATAATTTTGTTTAGATTGGGACTTTTGTGCCAACTTTATTATTGTTTAGTGGATACAGTTTAATGGATACAGTACAGTGGATACAGCTCATTTTTGCTTTGAGTTTTTTTTTCCTGATAAAGAAGCTGTATTTATAAGCTCCAGGCAGAAACATGTTCACTAAGTGGGGAGGTAGAAACTATGGGGTGGAATAAAGTTAAGGAACACAGATTTTACTGTCAAAAAAAAACCTTAGGGGAAAAAAATTCATCTTTGGCTATGTGCAAGTTACTTAATTTTTTTTGAGCTTCAATTTATGCATTTGCAAAATTGTCAGCGAGTGGAAAGTTAATGTATGCTAAATGTCTAGTTGAGTATATATTCAATTCATCATAGCTATTAATGCATCACTTTCACTAATAGGAAGAAAGAGATGAGAAAGGAGGAGAAAAGAAGTTAACATACATGGAATCCTTGCTCTATGTCAGGAGCTGTGTAATTATCCATTTGTTCTTGGAAGTAGAGTTTCTTCAGTTTACCCCTTACTCCTGAGCTGCTCCTGTGTCTTGTCACAGCGGTATAAACAATCATGATGGCTACTGAGCCCAAGGCAATTGCTGAATGCCATGGGACATTGCCCTGAGCATACAAAGAAGGCCACCTGGAGGAGACAACATCTCAGGTGGATCTGCACAGTGAAATAGGAGCTTGGGAGACAGAGACAGCGATAATTTTATTGTCTATAACGTAAGAGACTGATTTGGAACTCTTAGCCAACTCTGGTGTTTTTGCTCTGTTGACATTTAGTCATAGTGCGTGGCAGAACTTGGAATCAGACAGGCACTGCCCTGACTTTTGCACTATGCCTGTCTCACAAGCCAGGGCTGCCTTGAGGGCCTTGGTCCTTCTGAAGATTAGGGTCTTCGCCTTAGCGCTGTGCGTTATACCCAGCATTTCCAACTTCCTCTTTAGTGTCAGAGCCCTTTTCTGGAATAACATGAAGAGTAATGTAGCAACGTGTATTCAGCGTTTAGTCCGCGCTATGCTCAGTCACGATTCCTTTACAGGTTTTAGCTCTACGAAGATGGCTGCATTACGGATTGCTTTTTACCAGTGGCTGATCTGCAGCACAGAGACAAATCACACAGCTAGAGGTGGCAAAGCTGGGTTACAGGCTCCGGTGCTTGGCCTCTTAATAACTACATATTTTCTTTGTGTTTCTTGTTTGTTAAGTTTCTTGGTACATTTTGTATGCAACATGATGAACTTCATCACTGGGGATTATTTGTACCTGTACCTGATATACCTCGGTTTTCATTTTTTCCCATCCCTGTCCCCTCCCTCCTAGCCCTCCACTCCTCCCTATATACATAAGCTCAGTTTCCATTTCTTCCTTCTTTGTTTTCATTTTTTTTCTTGCATTCCCCTGCCCCACCCCTCATTTCCCCTTTCTCTTTTTGCAATTTCATCCTACTTCACATTTTCTGTTATACATTTTGGTCCTTGTTTACATTTTCAGTTTCTCACACCTGAGAAATAATTTGGAATTTACACGTGTGTCCTATTTATTTCACGTAAGAGTATGTCCTCAGCATACATCCATTTAGCTATGTGTCTCTAGTTTATCTTTCTTTATGGCTGAGTGGTACTCCATTCCTTACCCACTCACCAGTTGATGGGCATTGGGCTGTTTCCAAGCTTTAGCTATTACAAACTGGGTTGCTATAAACCTGGCTGCGCATATATCACTATGGTATGAAGATTTAATTCTTTCAGGAACATACCCAGCAGGGGGATAATTGGGTCATATATTCTTCATTACATTACTCAGTGATGTTTATGTGCTAGAGATAATTGCTCAAAAAAATTAAGTATAAGTCAAAGATGAATTCTGTTCCCGGTAAGATCCTGCATAAGGGCCCTGGTCCAGGTGCTGAACAGAGCCATCTGCATGGTCGAGTTCCCCAGGCCCAGGCCACTCAGTTCTCAGCATTGTCTAGTCTCCAGTGCACCCTTAAGGTACTTGACGGAACCCAGAACTCCACAAAACGCAGTTTGAGAAACCACTACTCCAACTTCGGGCTACGGCAACCTCCAGAGGACACATTCGATCGCTTCTGCCTTTCCAAGGCTCTCACCCAGTAGCTTTCCTTTCAACCTAGGTACAATATCCTGACCCAGAGAGAAGCTCAGAGCGTGTATGATGCCAGATATTACGGAGGCCAGTGTGAGACAGTGTACAACGGTGAGTGGAGGGAGCTCCGCTACGACCCGGTCTGCGAGCGCCTCTACTACGGAGATGACGAGAAGTACTTCCGGAAGCCCTACAACTTCCTGAAGTACCACTTTGAAGTAAGGGAACAGAGACACTCTTGGCCAGCTGGATGGTGGCGGCTCGAGGCAGAGGCCTGTCGGTGCAGATGGCTTGCTCAGATGCCCTCTCTTGTTCCCTCAGACCAGTTCTAGACCTTGCTGTGGCCAACCATCCCCTCACCCTCATTGTTTGGGTGAGCTGTCCACACATCCACCACCACTGAATGCTTATCCTGCTGATGTCAGCAGGGAGATGCAAGCCTATTGTGTGCCCGGCCTGGAATAATTGAACACTGTGGGCAGCTCTGAAGCCTGCTTAGGTCAGTGGTGGCGAACCTGTGGCATGTGTGCCACAGCTGGCTGCTTGCTATCATTGAAAGCTCTGAAAGGTTCGCCATCCCTCCCGTAGGCGATCATAATCTGCCAGCTTGCCTCACCTCTTTCCTCCCAGGCCGGGCCTGCTTACGGCTCACTGCACCTTACATTGCAGAGGTGAGCGCCACTTCCCCAGGAAGAATAACCCAGCCAGAAAGAACCATGTAACATTTGGAACAACACAGCATTTTATCAGAATACGTAACTGTTTTAGACATACCACTAAAACATCAACTCACATTGCTGTGTTTTCTGCATTTTAGTGAATATCAGTCTGATACCTGTATTAGACTTTTTCAAAGAATTTCTTATCGTACTCTAAAACTTCAGATGTTTTAGGAAGTAAATTTTGAAATGCTAAGTACGAAATGAAAAATATCTCTATATGCACAAAGCTAATGTTGATTTGTGTCTTTTCAGGCCTTGGCAGATTCTGGAATGACCTCAGAGATGTATGACGATGCAAATGACCTTCTTTCTAAAGTGAAAAATGACAGATTTCAGTCAAATGGAATAACCATTGGCATAGGCCCAACAAAAGGTCCTTTCAGTGTAAATGTGGGGGTAGCGTGGTCGGACGAGTCTTCATTCTTGAATAAGTTAAGCAAGTATAATGAGAAGGTATTAAAACATAATGTCTATGTCTCACACTACTCCATAATCTACACTGAACACACATTGCCTTAATTGCATTAAAAAGTACAGTAGTAATTGAACCTTAATTTGCTTGTGTAATTGGAAATGTCTGATCAGTGGTAATCATGTTTGTTTTTCTTATTACACTTTTGCACACAGAATCATCACAAAGGTAATAAAATTGAACAATAAGGCTCTTACCATTTCACCCCCCCATTCTTTTTCATGGTTACCTGGAGCTTATAGAAAAGGTATAGAGTGGTGCTGTGTTAAAGAGAAACAGCCAAGGGCTGGGGATTTAGCTCAGTGGTTCCACTGCCTTCCTCAAAAGCGCAATGTCCTGAGTTCGATCCCTGGTAACCCCCCCAAAAAAAAATAAAAGAGAGAGATAGAGATAGAGAAAGAGATAGAGAGAGACAGAGAGAGAGACAGAGAGAGAGAGAGAGAGAAACATCTGGACTCTCAATTTGACTTGGAAGATTTCTAATGAAAGTCTTCTTATTTTTCAAAATAGATAAGAGGCCTGGCATGCTCAATAAATCTTTCATTTATCCATCAGACATTCACCACTAAGTACCTATTATTCAGAGGGTTTAAAAAATGCTTCCTTGGAAAAGATGACCATCTAAATTGAGATCTAAGGAATAGTGCAAGATATCCAGACAAAGGCAGATGGAAGTTGACCGCAGGGTGTAGCAGTCTGCTTTCCATGACTGTAATAAAATGCCTGAGATAATTAAAAGAGAAAAGGTTTATTTAACTCACAGCTCTGGAGCTTTCAACCCAAGCTTGGGTGTTGCTGGTGATTTGGCTCTGGTGAGGGTGCTGGATGGCAGTGACAGGGAGCAAGTGGTGGAGCAAACTGCTCATATTATGAGCCAGGACGTGAAGAATGAAAGAGAAAAGAAGCAGGGTCCCATGGTCCCATTTGAGTATTTGCCCTTGGTGGCTAAGGGCCTTCCATCAGCTCCCAAGCGGAGCCACTTCGGGGACCAACCCTTTATCACATAAACCTTTGAGATCATTCAACACAGAAACCATGGTGATGGTGTTGGGTTAGGAATGGGAATTGTGATGCACAGAGGCTTGGAGATGAGAGAAGTGTTCCAGCCAGTGATGCACAGGATGAGGGAGGAGAGCAAGGGGTGATGAACATGGAGATAGTCAGGTGCCAGAGAAATATTTATGGAATTCATTAAAAGTTCACCAGAATGCCTCCACATTGCTAATACCAGGGTGGATCTAGTTGGGATTCAAAAATTATCTTGGATGATGAAAATACAGTGACAAAAATAACTTACTCAAAAATTAGGAATTCTGGAGCTTTGTACAAATTAGCTATTGACCTGCTATAGTTGCTCCACAGACCATGTTTAGATGGACTTTTTTTTTCTAAAAATGGGTGGTCTTTTCAATCGTTTGCTATCATTTTGAACCAAGATTTAGAGTAGAAATTGCCACAGATGAGCTTATTTCTCTGAAGCCATCCAACATTGTTCTAGTGCTATCTCTTTTTAGATGAGTATCCTGCTTTATTACTTCACTGAGCAAGATCACCCTGGAATGCAAGCTCTGTGATGGCCGGGTCCTAACTTGGTTACAGTTAAGTCCTCTGCACCCAGCAAAGACCACACAACCATAGGTGCCATAGATATGTGTACAAAACATTAAATGACATTTCATCATGTGATCAAGGGCATTCTAAGCGCATTGGTAATGGATACATAATATTTGTCTAGGAGACAGCAGTGTTGTGCTTTGATTAAATCTGAGGGAACTGTGGAGATGAGAATGGATTGGGTACAGAATAGGCAAGCAGCTCCATGAAGAAGCCACCATCGGTCTAACCAGGCAGTAGTGGAAGAGAACACATCCTGTGCTGGGACAATGGGAACAGGGACGAAGGCATAGAAGAATTCAGGCACTCACTGGTGTAGTGCATGCTTATGAAATCTAACAATGCTTTATGGATTTATGTTTTTGTGCTTGCCTCACCTACTAAACACTTTGCATTGTCTCACATGTTAAAATGTGTGCTGTCTTGATTCTCTTGCTCTACTCAATGGCGGTCATCTGTGGCAGAGATTCAGCTTTATGAGAATTTTCACCAAGGTGCAGACCGCCCACTTTAAGATGAGGAGGCACAAGATCATGCTGGATGAAGGGATGCTGCAGTCGCTGATGGAGCTTCCAGAGCAGTATGAGTACAGCATGTACTCCAAGTTCATTGAGGACTATGGCACCCATTACATCACATCTGGATCCATGGGTGGCACTTATGAATACATCCTGGTGCTTGACAGAGCCAAAATGGAATCTCTTGGTAAGTGGAGCACAATCTGCTTATGCAGTTTGGCCAACACACCAGCCAGGGTGTGCCTTCCAGTTGGCTAAGCCCTGACTCTGAGCCCTGGGCTGGCTCATTTAGTTCCCACGACAAGTCTGTAAGGTAACTGTAAGTGTCACTATTTCAGAGAAGTGAGATCCACTGGAATGACTTTCTGGTAAGCATAATAGACCGGATTTGAAGGCAGACTTGTCTAGCTGCCCCTCATAGTATGTGTTCCCATGGCCTCACAGTTACCTTGTCAACAATAAAGAATTTTAGAGATTTTGTTGTTTAAAATGTGAGCTTAGTTTGAATGGAGGCCTTTTATTTTCTTCAATACTGGGGATTGAACCCAGGGCTTCACACATATTGGGTGAGAAATGTACCACTGAACTACTCCCCTAAATGTAGGTTCTTTGTTAATTGAACTTCCATATAGTCAGTCAGCGAAACTAAAAACTTAGAAGCATCTCTAATTCCCCCTTATCCTTTGTCCCTGTAATCTCTAAGGCCTTTCAATTCTTTCTCACCTGACCCAGTTCACTCTGTCTCCTCCTTTAGTGATAGGCTTGATTCTAACTTTCATGCTGATTGGCTCCTAAATGCCTCTTCCAGGCCATTTTAAACAGCTGTCACCACACAGACCTTTTTACATCAGATCCAGTAGTATGTGTTCCTACTTCCTTGCCTTATACGTTGAATGCTCCAGAAGAATAATATCAACAACCTTCGTGATCTCTCTTATGTTACTAGAACAGTGGTTCTACAAGGATGGGTTACAACTGGCCACTTGTTCAAAAGGCAAATTCTCGAACCCCATCTCAAAGTTTACTGAATGAAACATTCTTGGAGTGAGCCTAGAAATCTCTTTTCACATCCTGCCAGCAATTCTGATGCCTGCTAGAGTTTTAGAACCAGTGACCTGGTCAATGAGTGGTAGAATGTAACAGAGCTAAACATACTGTAAAGCCAAGTTCAAATTTCTTATTTCAAGATTCTTCCATGACTGCACCAGCCCAGGCTGGGCCATCCTTTTCCTCAACACATTCATGTGTGTTCAATGTTCTTTGGTCTTTAAACAGCATTTTCCCAATTGCTGATATTTTTTTTCTCATCTATGTGAAAGCAGCCAATATCCAGCACTTTTCTATTTCTTTATACAATGCTTAATACATATTAAGCATGAAAAACAAAACAAGGAGCATTAATTTACATTCCAGGCTAGGGCCATTCATTAATTCATCCACCTACCTATTCTTTCTACTCTTTGTTTTTTTTAAATAAATAATTCAAGGTGCTCTACGGAGCATCCAGTGTGTTTGTACCCGGGATGTGGTGTGGTTACCATTCAACTCATAGCACAATGTTTTCACAACTGCAAATTGCAGTCCAGTAGCAAGTTTCAAAATTAGTGTATTGATCAGGAGCAAAATGTTGAAAACCAGCATCTCCAAAGAATAGAATAGAAAAGAAGTGAACTTTAGGCTCTGAAGGTAAGTTATTGTTTCCGGAAACTTTTCCAGTTAAATACAGACATGTGTGCATGTACTGTATCATGATACAAACTAAACAGCTTACTGCAGAGCATTGTTTTAAAAAGCTGCAAAAAGTCCTCAGCTGGGTCTTTTTAGAATCACTAAAAATGTGAGAACGGAAAAAGAATTAAGATTTGTTGAGCACTTACTGCATTCCAGGTGTAATTACATGCTTCTCGCTTTTCTTGCCAACACTTGGAGGTTGGTATTAAGGCTGAGGCTCATCAGGCAGGTGAATTATTTTACCAAGAGCGGCCAAAGTCTGGCTTCAGATCCCTGGCCCTGTGTTTTGCACTTGGCGGTTTTAAGGTAGCCTTTCATTTGGGCTGCAGTGTGGGGTTACTGATTAGTTGCCTGGTATATATCTGCAGGTCCTTCCTCTTTAAAAATCTGTGAGGCAGAAATGGACTAACAGTGTGGTTAATATTCAAAAGAAGCCCACCGACAAATTGTCCCAGGGATAATTACCTCAGCTCTGTTTATAGAAAGCCATATGTCGATAATAGCACAATTTGCTATTTGTGAAGAGCTGATTTTCTATAAATCCAGAAAGTTAGTGTTGCTTTCCTATAAATATGGAAATGTGCTAATCATCACCTCATCTGCTGGAGACCGCTAATAAATCAGAATGTCATTTACATATTAACCTAAAAAGAACAAAAACATCTACCTTTTTTCCTTTTGACAAATAGCATCACACACGCTTTTTCTCTGTGTTTGATTTTAGCTAGTGTTCTATTTCATATTCCCTTCTTTTGTTCCTTTTCTTAGTATCCTCTCATTCTCTCCTTTTTTCTCCATCTTTCCTCATTGTCAGTGTTTCTTCCTCTTCCTGTGTCTTTGATCTATAAGATTTTAATTTATATTCTATTAAGTGCTTGCTTCCAGGGGATATCTGTGTGTGTGGTACATTCATGCCCTCAAATGGCCAACCTTGGTATGGAACAACTCAGGTGAACATAGCAGTCTGTGCTGGGGGAATCTTTTGTCCTTGGGTTGCTTCAGATCCTCTCTGGACCTATCCCAGAGGATCTACAAAGGTGTTATATCAAATGTTGCTTCCCCACACATCAAAAAGTCAAGGGGAGCCTTGGAGGTTGGGGAGGTGATGTTTGACTTCAATGAGATCTGAAGATTTCTTCAAGGACTGTACCTAACAGCTTTCTACCTTCTGCGGGAGCTAGTATGGCTCTGGGCTTGAATTTTCTACATTTGGGCATCTTTTTCTCCTTCTTTCCTTTGCTAGAGTTCTCATCCTTTGTCTTTGTGTCAGAGGAGGACAAAGAGAATAGTGTATTTTCTGTTCTGCCTTCTCTAGAATCCAGCCCAGTCACAGCACTGACAGTTTACCTTGGGTAGATCAAGTGCTGCAGTGACACCCTTGTGTATTTTGTGATTTCTTCCTCCTTTGCAATTCTGCTCCTTCATCTCCTGTCTTGCTTCCCTGACAAACTTCAGCTCACCTTTTGGAACTGTCTAAGGCAGTGGTGGAAAACCTGTGGCACACGTGCCTTAGCCAGCTGTCTGTTATCACTGAAAGCTCTAAAACATTTGCCATCACTACCGTAAGGGTATTCCTGCTTCTGTAATGCCTGCCATGCCCTTCCTCTACCCTTCTTCCACAATTTTGTTTATAACTTCATTCATGCAACCGTGTTCATTGAGTTTTCATCCTGTGTCAGGTAACAAAATCGGTATGGTCCTGGCCTTTGTGATGCTCACAGTCCTGTGGAGGAAACAAAATTAATAGCTCCAAATTCCTTTTTTCTTGCTTCTCATCAGTGAGATCTGCCTGCTTTATTCATGAAATATACATGGACATCTCTCTACCCCTCTCTTTTGCTATCTCATTAGCCCGAACCAACAATATCTCTCATCTGGATACTGCAGGAAAATGATGAGCTCTCCATTTTCTCTTTCTCTTCCATATTTCCTTTCTTTTTTGATTATCCTCATTGCTCCAGTAGCACCAGGCCATACCTAGCTTATTTAGCCTAGGGTCATTGTGTCGGTGGTTCCTGTCTCTCTATCTGGACTATGCCAGCTCTGAGGTTTGCATAGCAGTAATCTTATCGTAGAGACTTCAGCTCAAGTGCTGCATTTTCTGAGAAGCCCTTCCTGACCACACAGTCAAGTCCACCTTTGGTATATTACCTATCCTAGTTCTCAGCAAGTCACTATCTGCTTAGCGCCTTGCTCGTTCGTTATTGGCAATCTCCTCTTTGTGGAATGTGCATCTCATAAGAGCAGGAAATGTGTTGGTCTTGTTCCTTGCTGCAGATTTATTTCCTAGCTGTGGCGAATGAGTGAATGAATCGGTTAATATGTAATTGCAAGTTGTGGTGTTTTGGGGAATGAAAGAACCCTATGCAGCTGAAGCCTTTTGTCTAAGGTAAGAAGCGTAGGAACTGAGGTTGGAAGCAACCTAGCGAAGTCACCAGAGGTCTTGTTGGCAGTGGCAGGAAGTACAGAGTATGTGCAGTGACAGGGTTCACCAGCAGGGCACACTGGGGTGTAACCCAGGTGTCAGCAGGTCATTATGCGGCCCTGCAGAGCCCAGATTAAATGGGCCAAGAGTGGACTCGTTTAGGAGGCTCTTAGTCATCAAGAATGGAGATGGAAGAATGTGACACAAATGGCATCTATTTGGAAAGTAGAATTTAAAGAATTTGCAGACGGGGTACAGATTGCGAGACGTGCCCTTTCCCTGAAATAATATTTGTACTATATATGCCCACGCGCACACACACAGGGAATGGTAAGCAGGGAGCAATGTGCCTGATGGGTGCTAGCTTCCTGGTGGAGATACCTGCAGGAATTTAAAATATGGGAGGGATTTTGGAGCAAAGAGCGGATTCTGTCTCCTCCAGGCAGATGCAGTGTGTCTTTCTCATCTCAAACCCCAGGTTCCTCTGAATTCCTTTTTTTTTTTTTTTTTTTTTTTTTTTTTTTTTTTTTTTTTTTTTTTTTTTTTTTTTTTTTTTTTTTTTTTTTGGTACCAGGGATTGAACTCTGGTCTTTGTGCTTGCGAGCTTGCGAGGCAGGCAGCAGCACCACTGAGCTAAATTCCTGACCCTCCTCTGAATTCTTAAAAAATTTTTTTCTGTGTGCTACTGGTGGTTGACCGTAGGCATTAAAAACATCTGACCAAGGTCTGTGGGGTTAAGAAATATGCTGGTGACACAGTAGCAGAGTCTGACCTTCATAGTCAGACATAACTGAGGAGAAATCTCCCATTCTACAACTTAGTAGCTGTATAACAAGTTTTTATTTTTTTATTTTAATTTTTTTTGGTACTGGGTATCAAACTGAAGACCTTGTGCTTGCAAAGCAGGCGCAGTATTGCTGAGCTAAATCCCTGGCCCATATGAAAAGTTTTTAATAGATATATGTCTCTTTGATGCAAGATTTTAACATAGCATAGCGGTTAAAAATAGTAAATTTCCATTTACTAACTGT